CAGCTTCAGCTATAAGTTCCCCACCCGCCAGGACTTGGGCTCCGCTCTCTCTTTTAATGAGACGGACACCCGAGCTTGGGAATAAAGTCTTTGGAATGAGAACTCTTTGTCTCAGTTCTTGTTAATGACCTGCTCCCCAACACTGAGAAGGCAGTGGATGAACATCTCCAAACACTACCTTAACATGCTCAGCCTGGATTGGGGTGTTTAAAGGAAAATCTGGGCATTCTTCTAAAGGCTACATGATGGTGGTGGTTCTGAGGTCTGCCTGGAGGCTTCCTTCTGGCCACATGATTCTCTGGTGGAGTCAGGAACCCAGGAATAATGATGGGATTAGCCTGGAAAGAATGCTAGACCATAGAGATTGTCATCAATAAGCCTAAGGATACTAATCATAAATTTCAGGGTAATTTTCTGAAACGGGGAACTGGTTGGGACAAGGACACTCCAAGCTCAAGCCACAGGGGGTTGATCTATTGTTAAGCTATAGGTCAAGGAAAGAGGCCAGGGACCCAGTGAGGCTTCTACTGTGGAGGCCAAAGAACAGCACACAAAACAGCCCTAGAAATAAATACAGTATTCAATCAACACCAATTGTAAATAATGAGTATATAGTGTTATACTAATAATAACAATAGCTGCCTTTTATTGAGCATCACATTCAAAATAGCAGTTTCTGGAAGCTGCAAATGGCTCTTTATTCCCAACCTGTCTGCCTTCAGCAAGCCTGACTATACTACAGTATAATAAAAAATATGCTTGGTCTTTTCCCTGTTCAAGGCACAGAGCTCCCCAAACCCTGAGAATTTCCTGAGTGATAAGAGTGTCTTTTGTATGCTAATGAGATGACTCAAGGCAGGGGGCCCCTAGATAGCTTCAGGATGTGAGCTGGTTGCCAGAAAAACAAGCCCTAGAACTTTCAGCTCTGACTCCCAACCTCCCGAGAGATGAGTGCGGCTGGAGATTAGACAAATGGCTAATGATTTAATCAACCTTTACTACATATGTAATGAAACCTCCACAAAAATCCACAACTGGGGTTCTTGAGATCTTCTGAATTGGTGAACACATCAAAATTCTGTAAGGGTGGAACCTGGAGGGGGCCTGAATGCTCTACATATCCTCTGCACCCTCCCCACCCTCACCCCCCATTACCTTCCTGTATGCCTCTCTTCCATTTGGCTGTTCCTGAGTTGCATCATGTATAATCAGCTGGTATACATAAGTAAATGTTTTCCTGAGTTCTGTGAGTCATACTAGCAAATTTTCAAAACTGAGGAAGGGGTAGTGGGAACCCCTGGTTTAGAGTCATTCAATCAGAAGTAAGGGTGGCCCTCTGGGACATGTGACTGGCACCTGAAGTGGAAGAAATCTTGTGGGCCTGAGCCCTTAACCTGTGGAGTTGGTGCTAACTCCCTCTAGTGTCAGAACTGAATTGAAATCTTTGGTCACCCAGCTGGTGTCAGAGAATTGCTTGTTGGTGGAAAAGACACCACATATTCAGTGGTGGGGAGAAAAAACTCACACTTTGACTTTTGTTTTTCTTTTACTGCTTTTTACAGATGAACTGCATCAATTTTTCCAAGGTATAGATAAATTCTAGGTCATACTGTTGTCAATCTTTCCTAATTTACTATAAGAGTATGCATTCCTTCCTCGCTTAAGTTAGTCTATAGGTTTGGACTCTTCTCTCAGGAATTTGTCACTAGAGGGATATAATGCTTTATTTGCCTTCCCTGGAGAACCTGAGAAGCAGCAGAGCAGTGTCAAACTCAAAAAAACGTCTGGAGGCTTTGGTTAGAAATAAATTACAGTGATGTACTCATGGGTCTTAGAGTTTGCAAACTGGAAACAAGTCTAGGCAGAACCCAAAAGAGTTCCAAGGAACAAAGGAAAATCATTCGTTTTTATTGCATAAGTGAATCACAAGAGAGAAAGGAGCCCTGTATTCTTAGTTATTTGGTTCATTATGATGAGTCAACTAGTATTGATAATTATGATGATGAGTTTCAGGTGGTGGTCATGAGCGGCGTCAAGCAGTCTGGTAATGGGGAGGTTTTCCTTGAGGAGGTCTTATGCTTGAGTGGAATCCAGGCACCAATGCATAGCCTACTGATGATAATCTGTATAATGTCTAAGGCAGGACTGAAGAGTTACAGGAAGGTTTGAAAGTTCAAAAGTCAAAGATATATTTATTGGTTTTCCTCAAGCTTCAGTTAATAATTTAGCAGGAAGGCTGGGAAGAGATCCCGTCATTTCCCCCCAACTTCACGCTTTCCTCAGCAGCAACAGAGCACACCCCTCCTAGTTCATTGTTTCTGTGTTTTGGTTTTTAATGTTGAGGAAGTTGGCCTTTGGTTAAAAACCTATGTGCAATTTGTAGCCCTGATGAAAGGAAATTACAGAGGCAGTACCTAGCCAGGTTTCACAGGGAAATCTGCCCTCCCCACATGTAACTGCAGAACCAGCTCAAAATGGCCCTATCCTGTTCAACAAAATACTGAGTTGCTTTTCAGAGATGACAGACCAAAACAAAGCTCTAATTTTCTAAATTTGTGCTATCCAACAGGAAGCCTAAAACAAGAAGGTAAACGCGAGTTGTCTTAAAATAATTAAAAATAGGAAAAAATTCATTATATCCTATACATTATATTTCCAGCACCCCTCATTTCTTTGTGAAGATCCAAGTTTCGATCTGGTGTCATATTCATCCTGTCTGAAGAACTTCATTTAACATTTATTATAGGGTAATAAGTTCTCACCTTTTTTGAGAAAATACATTTACAGATACCCTAAGTTTCCATTATCTGGTTACATGATGAATCATCTGTCAGTCAATACCTACATCGATGTTGTTTTACATGATACATAACACTGTGGATGTTATATGTATTACTAATACTAGACATAAAAAATAAAAAGATAATGTGAAAAAGAAATTCATATTTATTTATAGGTATAACCATTCAGGCATTGATAACAAAGAAGCAGCAATATGATTGCTTTATGATAGCCTAGTGTAATCGATATGATTGCTTCATGGTAATAACGAAATTTCCCAAAAAATTCCCAATATATTTATTTTTTTAAATCCACATATAAAAATTAACCTATGCAGTTCAAACCTGTGTTGTCCAAGGGTCAACTGCATTTGCAATGGAGACAATCTGGCCTGCAAAGCCTAAAATATTTACTGTGTGACCCTTTACAGAAAAAGCTTATCAATCCTCTGTTGGACAGATATATTGAGGTATTTATAGGTGAAAGGTACGATATTTGGTATTTCCTGTAAAATAATATGTCAAAACAAACAAGATTGGTGGAAGATTGATGAAACAAGGCAGGGAAATATTGATGATTCTTGAAACTAATGATGACTATATAGGGATTCATTAGCTATTCCCTCTATTTTTGTGTACACTTAAAAATTCTATAATCAAGTGTTAAAAATAAATCATCTTATGTATACTTTGTGCACATGGAAGTCCCAGGTTTGAACTGCTTTCCTTCTGATTTATAAAGCAAGTAGAGAGGGGGAAAAAGTGGAAGGTAGTGGTTATTTGTTGGGAACCTACTGTGTGAATGAGACTGTGCTCAGTGCTTGACAAGTTTCACTTAAAAAATAATCTTTATAATAACTCCTTGAGGTGCATATTATGAATCATTGTTTACTAATGAAATATCAGGAGCTTAGAAACATTACTTAATACAGAGCTAGAAAAGAGCAGTGCAGGAATCTGACCCTTGCCTGGGTCCCATTCTTAGTCACTGGTGTCATATATCCACACTGTTAAGTGGACAAGCTGAGGCCACACATCTGTTCAAAGATCAAGAAATGTTTCACAATCATTTGGATTCTATAATAGAAGACAAACATGAGCCTTCAATTGAGAAGTTGTTTTTATCAATGCTCTTTAGGATTAAAGATGATTTTGAGTTTTCCTGGTTGGTCTTAGAGTTGCTGGATTTGCCTGTTGTTAAGAATGTTGCTTTGTACCCAAACCCACTTATCTCTTTACTCTCCCCTGTAAAATTCAAAGCTCAGCAGAGACCATGTTTCCATAATTCCAACATTAAGCCCAGTTCCTTGAATAAGAAAAGATGCTTAATATATGTTTATTAAATGAATGACCAAGAACTTTCATGTCACAACCTCATCCCCATGCAAAATATCTTCTTGTGGACACTGAGGCACAGATTACAGAACTCCAGATTCTAAGTAACGACGCTCACTGTATATTAAGTTCTCAGCCTGTAAATCAGGAGATAATTTACTTTTTGACTTTCTGCTTTTCTAGGTGATGAAGACACATGTTTCTTAACCGCTAGAGTGGTTTTCGAGGCAGAGGCCTGGGTGAGGCGTGATATGTTTGAAGCAGTTGTTTTAGTTCTGAAGGTAGTGCCAGAAATGTTACATGCTTGTCTTCCTTTGCTGATTCCAGCCTATGCAACACCAGTTGACTTTTGCCATGTCCCCATAGATTTCAAGCAAATGAGTCATGCTGGGGTGCCATAAGCAGGGGCAGGAGATGGCTGCTGGATGGCAGGGAGGGGATATTTGCACTTTAAAGAACTACTGTCTTTACAGGTAAACAGGGTTTGACTTTATCCCAGATCTGAGACAGTTGTGGGCCATGGCTCCCACAGTAGAGAGTTCGACACAAAATCCCCTCATATGCAACAGGCGATACTGAATGTCAAGGTTCTGAGCCCTGAGCAACAATGCTAGCTTTGCCCTGCTTCCGTGTGGGGGAATTCAGTCAGCTTTTCAGCGAGCACAAGATGGTGGCTGGGGCACTTCAGGAAAATGGGTGGAATAGGTAGAAACACATACACAGACTCAGTAAACTTTTAACTTTTAGTCCTGACTTATATATAACATATTTTTCTGCAAAAAAAAATATGAGTTAAATATAATTTAATGGATAAGATATTTAAAATATAATTGTGACAATTTAAAAAATTCTATCATGAATACAGAAGAAAAAAGACCCAGTAAACAAAACAAATCAAAAACAAAATAAATGAAATAAGAACAAAAACTCCTCTCAACTTCGAGATAGTACATTCATTCTTCTTCTTACCCAGCTTAAAGTTCCCTGGAGCAACTATTGAGATCATGTTCCAGAGTAGAAGGTAATTTACTTTTCCAGAATGTTCCAGAATATTCTCCAAACATGTTCAAGACAGGGCAGCCAAGACTCTGTAGAATACATCTGAGTTTTCTTCTATTCCACTGAGCTCTTAGGGAAATGGAGGTGTTCAGGAACCTTGAGACTGCTGCCTAAGTGCAGCTGTACTTTATTTGCCTGAGTCCTCTGACCTCATTTAGGTTTTTAAAAATGGGTGTTCTTACTGTCAGTTGTGTTCAGTTGCATGTATTCCAGAGAGCCTTTTTTGTAGCTGGCTACCCGTGTGGGTTTTCGGTTTCTTATCCCTGCAGCCTGTCTTTTCTGTAAAGAGTTGGCAATCATATCTGAAAATTCAGCTTGCAAACGCTGTTGATTCTCCCTAGAAAGTGAGTGGAGAGGGAAAACAGAACTTCTCAGCCATTCATACAGAGCATTCCTTAGCTCCAGACCATCAGTTCAGTTTACCAAATACTTATTGAAGACTTCCTCTGTGCTAAACACAGGAAGTCCGCAGAATACAAAATGAACCTTGCCTTGGATGAGTTTAACAGACTGTCATCCCACTCTGTGTAGTTGTAGAAAAAGCAGAACATATTTCAAGCAGAAAATTATATTTCAGTTTCAAAGTGAAACACCATGCTGCCAGAATGGGGAAATGCTGTTAAGTTTACATATGCCACTGTAGGAAGGGGACAGAAGCCAGGACAACGCAAGGACCCTGCAACACAACCCTGAATACTTGTTGGTCCCACACATTCCTAGGAGCGTGAATCTTGTCTGGGGAGGACTTAGAATGGATGGAAGGCTTCAAGAGTTTGGAATAGACCTAAGGTGCTCCTTGTAAGGGGCCCAGTACCCGGTCCCCCACCCCCAGGAAGATCTGGGTTATTTTGGCATTTCTACAGGCTTCCGATCTGTCAGGATTCAGGCTCTAGAAGTCTGCAAGACAGGGTTTCTCTACCATAGCAAAAGCCACAGCAACAGCCACACGAATGACTGCAACAGCTCTATGGCCATTTGAGTCACCTTTAGAGGAACTGAAAGCTGCCAGTTAGAACTGAAACCTTGTCTTCGTCATCTCAGGGAGAACACAAACTCTGTGGGAAGAACCAGAACTGTAGTCCTGGGCTGAGGGAGTTCCCTTTTTCAACAGGTGGTGCCGCAGAGAGCTGCAGGCAGGGGTGGAAATACCTCTTTGCCTCCAGCATGCTCTACTCTTGTCGGAACCAGACATGCAGGAGGTGAGCTCTCAACTGTCCTCTTCTCCTGAGCATGCCTGGAGCACCCAGTTTCTAGCAGCGAGAGAAGGGAGGTTTCTTAACTTCTCGTGTGTGTAGTCCCTGGCCTCGTACTCAATATATCATTGTCACTGGTAAAGCACTTGCCAACAATTAAACTGGCTGTATGTAGCACTACTGACAAAGCCAAGACCTCTGCACCTCTGTACTTCCCCACCACACCCAGCACTTACACAGTAGGAGGAGTTGGCAGGTTGTACTCCTGGTCCTTCACCCCGGTCAGCCAGTAGGTGGTCTCAGTTCCTCTTCCCTAGTGAGACAAGAAAGGTGTGTGTACACACGATGGCCAATGAGACCGCTCAGCCCTAGCCCACTGCTCTGACAAGTGTCCGTTTTCAAGAGACATCCACCTCTGCGTTTCTCACCAGTGCCTATGTTTCAGTACAGCAAACGCTCCTGACATGATCTGCATTATCTCTAGACAGGTCTGTATTTCCAAGAGTCTTTTTAAAAACAAGGCTCTCATTCACCAGACGTGTTTCCTTCAAAGTAGAGTTTTCCTTTTTTCCAAAAGACATTTCAAAATATCACTATAGAAACATCCCAAGAACTTTACACTAAAAAGGAAGAGAATTCACCTACAGTCCTGCTATGCCAACAAATCCAACTGGTTTTCATTGTCCATCTTTTCTTCTACCTCTTTTTGCCACAAAGTTTGCCACAAAACTGTGCCACAGTTCCCCCACCTTAAGTGTGTATATTATAAACACATGTGTATCATAAGAAACACTCATTAAGTGATATTTGGTGAGCCCATCTGGAGGCTATAAAATGAATGGAAACTTACTGGAAATCCTGTTTTTGCTGGAGCTGGTATTTGAAAAGGAGACTGATGATTATATATATATTTTAAAAACCACTCATTTTAAAAATAGCAGGGGTTTTTTGGTTATGTTTGAACTGTAGTAACCCGTAAACTACTTTTATTTGAGGGGAAATACTCTGTGCAGAAAATGTATTTATGGAGGATTGAAAAAGCAAGTGTGATGTAGGACCCTATAAAAGGAGGCTTTTCCAACTTGCAATCACAATATGAAGGCCAGAAGCACTGTGGCTACTGGAGATACAATCTTATAGTCAACAGTTGGCTCAGACCAATTGTGAAAAGATTGTAATGACTTTTGAAAAGCAGCCTGAGGGCCAAGTGAAAGCATTTGGTGGCTCTAGAGGGCGGCTGTTCTACATGTGAGGAATAATAGCATGGACAGTCTAGAGCAGTGATTCTCAAACAATCACTTTGAATCCTTGTGAAAACTATAGATTCCTGATCTACACTCACAGAGTTTTACTCAGTAGGCCTGGTGGAGAGTCGAGGTGTCTGCCTTTTAACAAGCACCAGATGATGCTGAGTCAGAAGCCTGGGGCCACACCTTGTGATTTTTCTGGTCCAGAGCTTCAGAATGATAAAGCAACCAGCAAGAGAGGTGGTCTTAAGAGGATGGCAGCATCTTGCAGTAAGAGCAAGGATGTAAGGTGATGGGGAGTTTGACTGAAGTTAGTCCTGGACCAGATGTAGCTCTCGGGTATGGAGGAGGAATTGGGGACAAAACGTGGAAGAAATGGTGGCAGCATTTTGTAACATAGTAGTCATAGTTCAAAATATCAAAAGGGCTCTTTGAAGTAAAGGAAAGTTCTGAGTTCATATTCTTCAGTGGTGGCTTGTCCTCCAGGGGACAGTGGGAGATCATCGCGGGATGGTGGGTGATACAATGTGGGGAGTACAGAAAAGGATTCTCCACCTCACGCTCCTCACATGACTTGACTGCTGGGTATCCAGTCTCAAAGGAGGTGGCCCACCTGTGTCGCTGAGTGCTTTTTCTGGGTACTGTCCCTGTGAATCCCTTACCTTTAAGTATGTTTCTCCTCTCACTTCATACAGGAACTGGCACTCAGTTCTCTTCAGGATTGCTATCGTGGAGCCGCTCACATGAATTCTCAAGGCTGGAAATGCAAATTTAGATCATTAGATCAATGAAAATCTCATTCATTTTGAAATCTACTCTATGGTCACATTTGTTTCCCTTTGACTCAGGACATTTATTTCAGGTGTTCTTGACAGCTTAGATATTTTAGTGAAAGAACACTTGAAAGTACAATCCGTGTTTTACGAAGTGTTATCACTCATGGGAAGAAAGAGGGTCTGGCACTGTGTTTCAGGGTCCTGAGTGATGGGACTTCCCAGGTTTTGCTCCACAAATTCTCATTCCAGCTCAAACAGGTAGCCTTTTGGGTCTGGTTTTGGATTTAGCTTGTAGTGCTGAGCTCAAGAGTTGGAATTTGGTTTTGGGTCCCCGTGTAAAAAGTTCCAATAAATAGCCTAAGTGTTGGCAGCAGGGTGAAGATTCAGGAGAGAGGTTTTGAGTCTTGGTTTTCTCAAATTTTACTCTTCTGGGACACTCTTATCCTTCTCACAAATAAGTGGTGAGGGTATGTTCCCATTCCTATGTCCACTGCTGTATATTACTTTTCCTGTTTTGGATGCCACTGACAATAACAATAGTAAGAATAATGGCAACCCCATATTGTATGCCTACCATGTATCAGAGGATTGCTAAATGCTTAACATATATCACCTCAAAGCCCTCCAGAAACCTTCCAGTAAGGTTGGCACCCCATCCTCAATTTATATCTTTAACTTTTGATGCCTAAAAATGAGGTAACTTCCCCTCTAGCTTACACAGACACTGATTTACATAGTAATGATTTTTAAGTCTGTCTGGCCCCAACCTTATTCTTTCCTTTACATCATGATTTTTCAGTATAAACTAGAATCAGGTTGTCAGCAGACTGCCAAAATGCCATTCTACCACCTGTGTTTTTGTAAGCCCCACCCACATCTACCAATGCTTTCATTCTTGCTAGAATGTTTCTGCTGGTATCACTGTCATCAATATTTACTGGGTATTACTACAGGTAGCACACAATACCTCCACCTTGCCAGGCAAAGGCAATTTTTGCATATAAAAACTACTTATATTTTTCTTTACTAGAACCAATTCCCAGGGAAACCAAATAATATAGGAAAGTGAACCAGGGCGTATGTTCCATACTATGACCACTGAATATTTTTTAACTTACATGGATCTATGCTAAATTTCATGACTATTCCAGGTAGAGTATGCCTGCATGCATTGCAAATGAACCCAAACTAATAGAAGCAGTCTAAACTGAGCCACAAAGGAAGAATGAAATAATGATCAGTAAACAGGAACAACAAAAGCAAATGTAGCAAGGATTGCATTGACACGGGCTCACATTCAGTCAATGTGAAGATCATTCCCTGATCTCACAGGCACTTATGCATTTTACTCTACAGATCCCTTCTGCTGGAAGACACTATCTTTTTCCTCTAAGAAAAGCAATCTCCCTTCTTACGGAGGCCAGTGGATTCCATCCTAGAGGCTGTGTTGACAGTATCTCCAAATAGGCAATACCGAGGCATCTTGATCCCCACAACTCCAGCAGCACAGGGACCTGAAACGGACAGAAAGCAGGAAGTAGAGGCAATGGAAATCGCAGAGCGGAGTTAAGGTGGGTCAGCCTCTTCTCCGGTCACAATGATGAAAACTTCATTTTATGGAGAAGTGTCCGATGGTGTAAAAAGTGAGCTTTGATTTTTGCTTTAAATGAATATATTCGGTGAGGGGAGCATCCTTATTTGATGCACGCTTTCAGAAAGTATTTTGCTCTAGCACAGAAAATACACTTGCACAAACCAAGAAGGCATCAGGGGTCCAGGCTGCAAAGGTGGGACGTCCTTCCTAATATTTTTAAATAGTAGCTCTCAGGGAGGATGAAACCTACCCCACTGCTTGCTTACTGTGTTGAGCCACACAGCCCTGAGCTCTGAACTGTTGGTCGGCACAGTACACTTGAAGGCTCAATGGTCAGATTTGTTTTATTTAATTTTATTTTAGTCTGAGTAGCATTTCTGAGATTGGTGGCACCATGATGAAAGCCCAGAAGACAAGGACTTGACATAATCTTCCCTGAGCACCATGCACCATTGAATGCAGTGGGATGGGGGAGCCTGTGGCACAAGGACATTGTAACAGGAAGAACAAAAGCCAAAGTGAAACTGTGCACTGTGGCATATGAGGTAGGGAGAAAAGGTTATTTAATCAAATATTTGTGTGGAATGACTAAATGCAAGGAGAAGGAATAAAGATTTTAGAAGTCAAAGATTAACTTGGAAAGTACAAAACCGGTTTTGGATAGAGGTAACTACTGATTTTCTAGTTGGTTGATTGGGTTTTGATCCATATGAGTTTTTTTTTTTTAAGAGTTTATTGGGGAATTGGGGGAGGGGAATAGACAAGTTGCTGTCCTTCTGCTCCTCAGTCTGGTTGTGGAGGCCGTTGCCTCACTGGCCCATGTTAGTATTATCATTGTGCTCTTCCCAGGTGAGGCAGATCGGTCACCGGCCATTGGACGGCCACTCACAGCATCTCATGGCAGCCCACTGCAGCAGGGGCTGTAGTCTACTGCCGGTGACTCACCGCAGCCCAGCTCCAGGTTGAGCTGTTGTTCACCACCCCAGCTGTAGAGGGCGTAGCATCACTAGCCCTCATGTGGGATTGAACCAGGGCCCTACTGCTCAGAGCTGGTGCTCCCAAGCCAACTCTCAACCAACACACCACTCGGCCGGCCCTATATGAGTTTCTTTATAGATTTATCCTGCAAATATTCTGTGTTTATGAACACACAAAAAATCAAAATAGGGGATGTTCTCCTGAGTGCTGAGCCTTTCCCTGTTAGGTTCGATGCAAAACAATACCAAAAAAAAAAGAAACAATTGAAAAACAAAAGCAGGAAAAATCTACAGAAGGGAAGGTGCAGTAGAGGCAGCTACTTGATCAGAAGACCTCTGATCTGTGCCTTAGGTCTAATCACAAGTGACTCTTCACTTCAAAAACGGAGTGATAAAGCTGGGAAGGGCCTAGAAGTGGAAAATCCTGCAGATATTATGTCTCATTTTCAACGATTAGTATTTAACAACAACTTTTTAATTTCTTAGGGCTAAACCCTAAGTTAATACATAGATATCAGGTATGTGTGCCTAATATCTATTCTCTTTCCAGTCCAGGATGGTAGTGCCTGGGCCATGTTGGTCAGCCCAGGCACTGAGTAGGTTCACAGGGGAAAGGAGACCAGGCCAGGACCCCAGAGCTCCATTCTCCCTAATTTGGCTCAGTCAGATCTGCTGCTGTCCCTTCCTCCAGGCCTGGTAATTTGTGATGAATCAGAAGAGGGGCAGTGTGCTGACTAGGGAGATGCTCAGAAGCTCCCGCATATATGTATGGAAACATCAGTGACATTTGGCTGTGGACATGATCGGGACAGTCCACAGCTATGTTCCTGGCTGTCAAAGATGTGGCCCAGTTTTTAACTTCTAGTTACTGTCACTTAGAGAATCTCACTGGTTCATTACTCAAATAAATATTTAGCTCCAGGCTCTGTGCTAGGCACTTGTGGATACAGATGACTTTTGCAAATGTAGTTGTCTGGTCCTTGCCACAAGCCTGGAGTGATCTACTGGGTTTTCTGTACTCTGGGTCTTCTGTGAGGCTCAGGTGGCAGAAAAAGGAGCAATGCCAAGAAATTATAGGAAGATGTGATTTCATTTAACACAGGGAAAGGCTGTCTAACAATTACAACTATTCAATAATGGAGCGAGTTGACTTTGGAAATAGTGTTTTCAGGGAATCCTGGGATTATTCTAAAAGTGGCTATATTATTACTTACCTTAGAACCTAAAAGATAGGATTAATTTAGAGGATTTATGGGCTCCTCTCCAACTCTATGACACATCGTCTCAAATCCCTACATTCAAGCTGGGTAACTGTTACAATTTTTGAAGTGACCCAGATACTTTCCCTGGGTCACATGAGTGGGTGGGGAGAAATATAAATGCCCATTTATTATAGGAATTATAGCTATTCTCCCCACCCCCTGTAGATAATCTAATCTATTTAAGACACTATCATATTTTAGTGGAAAAAAATTACACAAGTTGGGGATGGAGGAGAAGGAGGGAATGGGGAAAAGATAAATGAAACAGTAAATACAGTGATTTAAATAGGAAATCTGGAGCTTGTTATTTCATTATATGTTTGGTGTTTATCATTTCAGGGGTCAAAGTTGCTATAAAAAATGTTGTTTTCTAGAACTTTCTTGGGACTGGGTCTAATTATGTCAGGATATGTAATGAGACCTCATTTTTGGCAGAGAGATTCAAGAGTAAACCTCATGTGAAAACCAGTCACATCTGAAGACCCTTTATCCGTTCTGATTTAATTGGTGCACAGAACCAAGGATTCCCATTTGCCACAAGGCCGAACTCCATACCAGAGTGAACTCCAATGCGAATCCATATTGGTAGGCCAGGAAGATGTTCCAGCTCGAAGGTCCCCATGAAGCTGAGGATATCCAAGGCCATCTTGGCAATGTCTATTGCATGCCGATTGCCATTTCTCTTAGGTAAACCACTAGCTACCATGTAGGCGTCACCAATGGTTTCCACCTGTGGAAATAGTTTCTCATCAGTGAATCTGTCCCTTCAAAAGGCACAAGCAATTAAACACACATCAAATACAAAAGTTTTTCAGAATGTAGTATGAGCATAGCCCTGTACACTTTTTCTGGGACCAGTTAAAGACCAGTTCCATGCTAATTTCTTCAGGGTTTTTATAGTCTAGTTAAATGGATGATAAAACAGCTATAAAGGATTTTCACCATGTGAAAGTACTTCATAATAATGTAAATCATCCAGATGTGGTGACAATCCTGTGAATGTTTAAATAATCTAGCTAGTTTTATATAATTTTAGAGATACCTTTAATTACCAGAAAAGTCATTTTTAGCATTTATCATTTTTCACATACTATTTGAAAAAAATAATTGTAGGTTCCTCCAAGATATATAATACACATTTTTATAGTATGGTGATACATACAAAAACACTTTTCTTGTAATACGTAGTATTTTTATATTAACAGTATTCTATAAATATTATTCTTTGATAAATGTCCTCCCTTTTAATTTTATTTTCATAATCGTATGCATAGTTCACATTTATTGGTTAGTTAACTTCTTTTTGCCAACTATCTCTAAAACGCACAATCATTTTCTATCCAATAAAAACTGTTGTTACCATGGCTTTCTGACCTACTTAGGGTAAGGACTGGGCTAAGACAAACACGAAAAAGGAAGTCCCCTCTGTGAGTAATAACCACATGACAGAGTGTTATATGAGTTACCTGTAAACTTTCCTTAAGGGTACAGTGTTTCAGGCATATTGTTTATCTCAATAATCTTAATAACCCATTGAGTTAGGTTATTATTATCATCCCATTTTACAGATAGGTAAATTGAGACTTGAGGAAATTAAATATATTTTAAATATATCACATGGTTAAGGGGAAAATTGGGATTTTAATGAAGGGCTCTATTTCTTTTTTTTAAGATTTATTGGGGAATTGGGGGAGAGGAACAGCATTAGGGAATCGGGGAAGGGGAACAGACAAGTTGCTGTCCTTTGTTCTTCAGTCTAGTTGTGGAGGATGTCGCTTCACTGGCCCATGTTGGTATTATCATTGCGNAGCTCGGGAGGCCCAGGAATATGTGGGGAAGGACTGAGTTGTGTGGCTTCAGAGAAGAAACTGAAGGGATAGGAACCATTGTTGTCCCTGTGTGGAGCCTGACACGTGTGACCTGTAGAAGAGCGCCATCTTTTCAGTGTTAAGCCCTCCCCCAAAGGGCCAAGTCTGGGACCTGGGACTGCATTGGTCTGGTAAAATCTGTGTGTGTGCACTGCCTTGGTGAAACCCTGGGTCCCCACCCCTCTGCACAACTGGTGTACATCACCTGGGACATTCATGACTGCTGGGCTGCTGGCCCCACCCCACAGGCTGCAGAAGCCTTTTTGCTGTGGGCAAACTGCCCGTGGTAGCCCTGGAAACGTTTGCTGGTGGGTGGTAACCTAAGACCTGTGCCTCAGTGGCTCTTGGGCAGTTTTTGGGAACCTGCAGGCCACGGGCCATGGCTGACTGTGGTGTTGTCAGGGTGTTCTTGTGGGGAGGTTGTAGGCCCAGCACTAGTGAGGGAGTCTAGTTGTGGAGGATGTCGCTTCACTGGCCCATGTTGGTATTATCATTGCGCTCTTCCCGGGTGAGGCAGTCGCTTGCTGGCCATTGGACAGCTGCTCACAGCGGCTCACAGCAGCTCATTTCAGGTTGAGCTGTTGTTCACCATCTTAGCTGTAGAGGGCACAGCGTCACTGGCCCTCATGTGGGACCCGAACTGGGGCCCTGCTGCTCAGAGCTGACGTCCCAAGCCAACTCTTAATCAACATGCCACTTGGCCGATCTGAAGGGCTCCATTTCTAAAGTTACTTGTTCCATACATGTAGGAGTTCAACATGTAGGAGTTCAACTCTGCTTTACTCTTCTGACTTAGACATTATTAGTCTGGAGCAGATCAGCACTTCAGTCAGGCAATAGATCCAGTTATGAGCTTACAGAATGTTCTCCCTGTTCTTTTTTGGTTTTCTTTGAATAATGGTTGTTATTTCAACAACTACAACAAAAATAGTAAGATATTCCTATTCTACTTACTATAACTCCGGTGTCTTCTCTGCTTCATTTGCAATCAGCCTAAACACAATCCATTGCTTGAAGGTGATTTGAGCTTATGCCATTTTCTCTAAATTTAGTACCCCAAATTCATTCCTGCTCAACTTTGTTGTTTCTTTCATGCTGCTTCTTAAAATCACATGGACATTTTGACTTATGGCCCTGCTTATTCTCCTACTTCCCTTCACTTTTAGCTCAGATTCCATCACCAACTCATTAAATCTTAAATTCAGAGGACAAGACCTGAGCAATAACAGGAAGAACCAATTCCAGCTCTGCTGACCTGGGGCCATACGATCATTTCAGCCTGTTAGATAAAGTGGTTACCTTGTACACATCATGATGATCAAGAATGTGGTCAAAACTCTTATAGATGTCATTGAGCATGTCCACCACTTCCATGGGGGTGCTGTATTTGCAGATAGTGGTGAAACCTACAATGTCACTGAAGTAGATTGTAACTTCCTCATATAGTTCAGGCTCCACAACGCCTTTCTCCTTCAGAGACTTCACTACTAGCCTAGATGGAAAGAAACAAAATGCCTTCAGCTACAGAACATTTTTTCTTCTCTGATATAAATCTTTGAGACAGAAGTAATTGCCCACCAGGAATTCTACAGTTTGGAATTTCCAGTGAACTGGGTGGCTAGGAAGCAAAGATAAGTTGCATATACCGTATATATGAACATATTACATAGATACACATATATGTATTTGAACTCACACGATTATAGGCAGGTTCAGCATTAAATTAGTAATTGACTATTGACCCTAATACACACATACATATAACCCTAATACATATACACACTTGCCCACTTTTTACCTCTCTGTTGACAGTCAGTTTCTTTTAGTTATAGCTCTATATCTAGAAACTGAGGAGAGTGTGTCATTAATGTAAGAGCTTGAATGACAATAACTATCAGATATTTTCTCATCAGGGTCAATAGTTTTACCTCCTGACATATTTAACATGGCACTGTTTATTACCACAATGAAGGAATATACATTTAAAAATTAATTTTGAGGGCTGGCCGAGTGGCTCAGTTGGTTAAGAGCTCACTCAAGAGTTTGAGCTCTGAGCAACAGCGGTTCAATGCCCGGCCCAAGCTGAGCTGCCGCTGAGCTGCCAAAAGGTGGTAGGATGGCTCAGCTAAAAAAATAAATAAAATAAAAATTAATTTTGATATAATCTGAACCATAATTTATTTTATATACTTTGAACCAGAATTGGGTCCCTAAGAAAAGCAATGTCAATTACCATGTAAACAAGTTAAAATTATGCTAAAACTGAAGAAGTCAAATGAAGCAATTTAGAATATGTGTGTTGAAGAGAAATAAAGAGCAGTATATCAGACTCAGAATTAAGAGAGAACCACAAGAAAGAACTCCATTTTCCTTTATGTGCCAAGTTGCCTTTCCATTGAAAAAAAATGAGGTGGGTGCTGACTTGAGACAGCATGCTCCATTTTTCTGCCCTTGGGACACTGTGTAAAGGGCCTGAGTATGGAACTACTGGAAACAGAACCTGGAAGCTGGGAGGTGCCAGAGGTCACTGAGAGTAGATCCTTCATTTTGACAGAAGAGGAAGTTGAGGCTTAAAAGAAAGCCCCAGGGACAGCCGAGTGGCTCAGTTGGTTAAGAGCTCGCTCAAGAGTGTGAGCTCTGAGCAACAGCGGTTCGAGCTGAGCTGCCACTGAGCTGCCAACAGGTGGCAGGATGGCTCAGCTAAAAAAAAAAAGCAAGTCCCACAAGGTCCCACAGTCACCAAGAGCAGAGCCAGTCCTCGAACTCAGCAACGTCCAGCCCTTGGGGCTTTTATTGCACCTCATTCTCCCCACAATCCAATCCTTGGATAGTCTGGGGGAGAGGGACAATCTGGAGGCATGCCGGCTCTGGTGAAGGGAGAATGTCTAGCATTCTCCCTCAAAACAGCCAATCAACCACAAAAATTCACAATTCACAATACCCATTTAGAGAACCTCCACAGCATGGAGGAAGAAGTCTTTTCAACTGGTGCAATGATGGAACTCAGGACCTTTGTAAACCAGCCCTTTGGTGTGGCTGTTTGGATTGGCAGGGGCACTTCTGGGGTGGTAGTTGTGACACACCCAGTCTAAGGGTGCAGAGTATTTTGGAGACTACATAGATGTAATGATAAAATGGGGTATTTCACCATCTTTACCCTTAATTTTATTAATTATATCTGAAAAGTCCTATGAGCTTGGAAAATAGTGCATTACCCAGAGAGAGAAGGAAGGGCTATAACTTAACATAGTGAGTTTTCATAACAGGTTGTTGCTGATACAGACAGAATTAGTGTACAGACCAGATGTCTTACAAGGTCTTCCCAAGAAGGAAAAACTTCTATTTTAACCTGTTGAAAAAATCCCAAGTAGAACTGTTCAAATAAGTGTTTAAATAATATCTGGTTCCTACATGCAGTCTTAACTTTATCAATAATTTTGCTCTCAATGTCGCCTTTTGATTCTCCTAGTTATTGCTCAGGTACGTTTTAGTTTTCTTTTGTAAATACAAAGAATTTTTACATAGATTATCAAAGTGAGTTGCACTCGAGTCACGGTGCATTGCAGCCATCGAAGAGGTTTGTGTTCTGTAACCTAGGGCAATCCAAGAAAAACATCTGCCATCTAGTGGCCACTGAACCAAAGGGAAGAAAAGAAATGCTGGGTGGTGAGCCATCTGTTTGAAATCATGTGAGTACGTTCTTAGTTAAACCCACTGCTGATGACACCCTGAGAAGTCAGCCAGATAATCAGGTTATTGCTTTTGTCACAACTCAGCATTAAAGGCCAGACAAGGAATTATGCATTATGTAACTAACATTTATGGAGTGTTGACAGAAATTGCCTAATAGGGTTCCAGCCTATTCCAAGGAAATATGATTCCCAGGCTATTCCTAAATTCTCCTAGGGCGCATGGGTGCTACATTAGGCTCTCTTGAGGCCTGAGTGGCTCAACAGAGCATGTGCATTAACTCTTACCTCTTCATTCAGACTTGTAGAAGAGAAACTATTTCTTTATTTAGAAAACAGCTCATACAATCTCAGAATCACTCCTTTGCTAATGTAGAGCCGATAGTCTAAATTAAGCATGGGAACAAATAAAATAAGAACTAATACAAGTCATATATAAAAGTCATAGCTACTGTGTATAATAATAGCAACCATGGACGTTCTAGGCACTGTGCTCAGTACCTTATATCTTGCACATAATTTCAGGGGATTCTTGGAGCCAGCCTGTGAGGCAGATGGGAAACTGAGGCTTGGGGCATTTAGGTAACTTGCCGAAGGCTGCAGATCTGTAGTAGGTGGTAGAACCATGACTTAAGGTCAGGCCTGGCTGACCTCAATTTCCATGATTTCATCAAATGCTAGCCTGCCCAGCCTATCCTTAATCTAATAGGACAGTTGATTATACTTCAACGGGAAGAGAATATTACTTTTCTCTTGTGACAGTTGTGGGCGCCTTGGCCTACGCCTATTTCCTAGCTCTTCACATTTTAATTTATTGCTTATCTTAACGTTTCTTAGTTATTACCCGAGTACCAACACTTAACCAAACTTTAAACTGTTTGGGGATTTCCCCTTTACTTCCTTCTCTTCTGTCGTGACTGTTACATTGTTTCACAAAATGGATGTCAGCCTATAATGTGCCTCTGAGATGAGAGTCTGATGTGTGGCCTCACTTCCTCCACTAAAGAAGACTCTACTTCTTATAATTTGGCTTCCACTTTGAGGTAGAAAGAAGAAAGCAAAGAAACTAACGCTTAGTGCCTGAAAGTACCTTATAGCTCATAGATTCCTAGGAAAACTTTAATTTCCATTTTGAGCCTGAGGAGAGACAGTGACCTGCCGAAGGTCCCAGACAGTAAAAGCGGCACAGGGATGTTGTAATCCAGGTGGTTCTAACTCCACAGCCCAAGCTCCTTCTGTGGCACTACTTGGCCATTTAAAAATAACCTTTCCTTTCTGGGTATTTACAGTGCAAACCAGAACAAGGCTTAGCAAGGTATCTGCATTTTAAAACTCAATCTGTTAAAGAATATGCCAAAAGGAACAGTGCCAAATAGATACAAAGAAAAACAATGCTAGACAAATACGCCGAAGCCTTACGCTCTCAGGGTATGAGGCAGAGCTGCGGAGTTGTGGGGATGCACGTCAGCAGGACAACGTGCCTTACCTTGGCAGCAACATAAAGTTCAGCCTGTCAGCTCTGTCCCTCTCTGCCTTGTACAGCTGCGTCCTTTCCTCCACCAGATGTTCCAGGTTTCGGGAATACAGCTGTAGACGCCGGATCAAGGTATCCATATAACTTTCACTTTTCTGGTCATGAAAAAGTCTGTAGGTAGAAATAAATAAAGAGCCCTTCCACGTTGTTAAGGACACATGAACATCCATTAAAGCAGCAGGCAAATATGATAAACAGATAATTAATGAAAAAATAAAAATGGCTGAAAACATAACAAAAAACAATTCAATCTCAGGCAAGATCAAAGAAATAGAAATAAGATTAATGAAAAAAAAAAGAGAGAAACAAATGTTAGCAAAATGACAATCAATATAGGTAAGAAGGAGGAAAGAATATACAGTACAACCTTCCTGGAGGGCAATCTGGAAAAATCTGTCATAAGCTTTGAGAATACACATACCAGTCAGCCCATCAACTCTACTTCTAAGAATTATCCTAAGGAAACAATCATAAATGTGCTGAAAGTTGACTACAAAGAAAGCCACAGCGTTCTTTACAACAGCAAACATTTGAAAATAATCTAAATGCGTTACAAAAAAGCAGTGAAAATATTATGATACAACCCAATGGAATAGTAATATATCATTAAATATGAATTAGAACAAACACACAGAAAGATACTATCTCTATATCACTCAGTGAAAAAAATCAGTTCATAAAACAGAAAAAATTATAATCTCATTTAAAATTTTTGAAAACTGGTGGTCATCTACTAACAAACAGCTGATGTTTTTACTGTCTTGTTTGCTTATTCATTTTCTAAAATTTTGATAATAATTTGTAATAAAGGGGAAATCTTTTTTTTAAAAAAGGCTCTAAAGGTGATAAATGGAAGTATAAAAGCAGGACCAAGAAAAGCAAAGCAGAGTCTTACATTATCTCCTAAGAATGGAGAGCCAGGGTCCTAAAGCAAAAAAACTAACTCTGGATTATTTTGTTAGACCAAGGAGACTTAGATGAGATGCCAGCCTTCTGTGACACTGGGGCATAGGACAAGGCTTGGTGCAGGGCTGGGTCAGAGGCACCATGAGTTCCTGGAGAGCTGTGAGGATCCAAGATAATATTCACAAGCTCTATGGCACAATTGAAGGCGCTGAACAAATCATACCCTTTCATTATTACCACAACAACAATTATAAACCACCACTTCTGCGCTCAAGAAGATGGACTACATCATAATCCCCTGGAGTGGGGAGGGGATTTTTGTTAAAAATTCAATACAATTCTAAGTCCTATTACAGACCTCTATGACTGGAAACTGCTAGATTTGGGATTAAGAAACAGAATTTTTAAACAAGTTCAGGAGACTCTTACTTGAAACCACGAGTATAGAGTCTAGTTGGGGGAAAGGGTGAGGGAGCAGCTGTAAGGGATGAAGATGGATTATCTTACTTCATGATGAATTGATTCAATTAAGCAGTTTTCTCAACCTTGGCTGCATATTTTAATCACCTAAGGAGCTATTAAAACTCCTGATGCCAACTTGCTCTCCAGATCAATTACATTAGACTTTCTAGGGTAGAGTATCAGGGGCCCAGTTTATCTTCAAGAGTTTACATTTCATCTGTCACACTTACAATCACATCTGCTCTTAGTAACAAGCTTGTGAAGGAATGAAAAATAGGAAAGAATTAAATTGCTTATTTATTTCCTGCTCCTTTCTCCCAAATGACAGTTTAGATCTACCAAATCAATAACTACACTTTCATTAACTTCACTCCACCTCATCTCCAGCCCTAGGCTTTTAGCCTCTTTATGACTTCGTGAGAACTACAGAAAATTAGAGCTGGAAGGAATTGTAAAAATGATCTTATTCGGTTCAATTTTACTAACAAGAAAATTGACACCTAATTAGGGTAAGAGTTTTACCCAACGCCTCACAGCAAACTATTATTAGATTCTAGTCTAGAAACTGGATCTCTTAACTCTTACTCCAGTGTTATTTTTCTCACTCTGCACTATAATCTAACAGAAAACATGAGAAATCTAGAATTCGATCTTACTGGGTAATAGTGTTACTTTTTTTTTTTTCTTGATCCTGAATTATACTCTGATTTGTGGTTCAAGTCTTAAGTACCTAGGGCCAAAGTTACTGATCTTTTTAAGATTTAAAAATTTTAAGAAACTTACTGATCTTAAGAATTATCCGGGGACTTTACAGATTCCCAGAGCCCATACTAAACTTCTAAATCCTAGTTACCTGCAGGAGTATCAGGGAACTATATTTTTAACAGACATATTTATGATTAGTTAGAATATAGTTTTTAATCAGGCAAGTTTGCCCTTGAGTAATTAAATTTTCAAGTGATTATTTTCCTGAGAAAATGGTCTGTTAGTCTCCATATCATTTTAATTTCTTTTGAGACAGGTGTTGCAGTCTGGGTTTTGTTTTGTTTGGTTTTTTTTTTCATTAGAATAGGCATTCTCACTCTTAGGTGCCACTGAATGTCAACTATTAGAAAAATCTGAAATCAGAAAAAGTAAAAATTTCAGCAATACCCAAATATCTTGGCTAGCGTAATCTCAATTTTCTTGAAATCTGGTCTCTTTTCTGGATCTTCCTCCCAGCAGTTTTTCACAAGTAGATACACCTGGAAGAAAGAAGGGGTATATTAGAAGGGAGAGGTGGTATCCTATCCTATTATCTTCCATGATGAGAGTAATTAAGGTAAGGGATATTTTTAAAACATCTCAACTCTGACAATGAGAGTGAGATGCCCCAGTTGTCTACAGTGTGTCTTGCCACCTGCACTGACTGCCTTGCCTAAGTCCTTACGTTGGGCCCTGAAATAATGAAAAAGGTAATACTGATTTGGACGTGGCTGGGTTGACGGGAGAGAGACAAAATGCTTTACAGGCATGTGTATGTTGTGCGTTGGGGTGGACAAGAAATAGATGGGTTCAGTGAGTATGAGACAGTGACCATAAATGAGTGAGGCACTTCAGCAGCGATTTCTAACAGAGGCTAAGAATGGAATTGCCTGGAGACTCTTTACAAAATTTCTCTTACCCAGGCCCCACCCCAGGAGATTCTGATTTAATTGGTTTGTGAAGGGGCCTTAGTAAGGCTCTCAGATTTAGCAAATAAAAATATAGGACTTCCAGTTAAACTTGAATTTCAGATAAACAATGAATAATTGCGTTAGCATAAGTATGACCCAAATATTGCATGGACAAAGGACAATAATACATAATAATTATTATATATCAATATGTAATATTTATTATAATATATAACAATTATAATATAATTATAATTATTATATAAAATTACACAAAATAATGTGATTATTATTATGCTATATATATTTTATTATTACGTATATATAAGAGAAGTGAGGAAGGGGCAGTTCGGAGGAAGAGGGAGACACCAGGAAGCCCATGGAAACATCATCTCATTTGCTACCACTTGTCGGCAGCTTTTGTTGGATCTAAAAGCATGGTGAAAACCATTTGCTTTATATAAAGTTTGTTCTTCACTCGGGCCAAAAATAGGATCACAAATGGGACTAGATGCAGTCCCTGTCCCCGTTCTTAGACTTAACAAGTAAGACCCTGGGGAAGGACGAGACGCATGGTATAGCTGCTGTTTGCCTGAATTCTCCACTAAATGATGCCCCTGCCTTGGTACATGATGCGCTGGCGGCCTTAGGGAGGAATGGGCAGAAGCAACCGACAAATGGGCTGAGAGAGCACCGCCGAGTGGAATAGCGGGCGCTTTTGTGGCGTTGCCAAGTCATTTCAGGCCTGCATTCTGTTGAAACCAGCTACTAGCTTAGAAATCTTATTCCTGGTTTCCAGTTCCAGAACTATCCAACTACACGAGTGAAAAGGTTTTAAGCGACACATGGATATACTCAGATGAGAAAGGAGCATTTGAGCAGGGATATGCTGACGTGTGAGGAGGAATCTCAGGATCCAGAAAAGCCGTATATATCCTCAGATAGGAGGGAGGTAGAGAGAGATTAGACGGACGGAAGAGAATGTGACCACAGGGGCAGAGACTGGAGTGTTGTGCACAGAAGCAAAGACGTGTCAGCCACCAGAGATGCTTCAGGAAGAAACAAGAAATAGATTCCCCCTAGATCCCTGGAGGGGGTGTGACCTTGCTGACATCTTATTTCAGATTCTGGCCTCCAGAACTGTAAGCGAATACATTTCTGTTGTTTGAACCCACCAAGTTTGTGGCAATGTGTTACAGCAGCCCAAAGAAACTCACTTCCAGCTCTTTTTCCTCTGCTGTTTCCAGGAACAGATCTGGGCGGAAGGGTTTCATTCCGTTGGAATTCTCTACTCTGAAAATCTTCTCTGATGGGATGAGAATAATTCAAATTATGAGAAGGATTGCAGCATGAAGGTGACAAAACCTATAGAATTTAGTAAGAGCTAAAATATGGATGCTGTCCTGTCCCTCTTGAGTGATCTATAACAGTTCAGGCATTAAACTGACACATGTGTGAAATCGGAAAGAGGGAAATGTTAAGGGGGAGACTCTTTCACAGTAATACTGACAGTAGGGCCACCTGGCAGTGGTATATGGTCTTATGCTCTTTAGAACATGCTAACCTTCATACTGTTGTTTAATCCTTCCCAACCCCCTGCGAAATGTGTAATGCAGATATGCCATCACTTTTGCAGATGAGGGACAGAGATGTGGTGACGCAGATCAGGGTCTCCATCAGCCAGGAACACATGTTGGCTAGCTCCCAGAGGGGACACGTGAAGGTCTCAGACTCTTACCGTTCTGGTCCCGGCAGCTCAGCGTGTAGAAGGTTTCTCTCCGCAGGATGATCTCCTGTGCAATGATCCCGTAGCTGTACACATCTCCTTTCTGAGAGATGCTGGCTTGGCGGAGGTGCTCCGGGGCTGTCCACAGGTCTGTGCAGACAGCATTGAGATGGCCAAGTTCAGGGACGACAGGCCAATAGGCCTCCAACCTGCTTTCGCTCTTTAACTCCCTACCCCATGCACCCTGAATATGAGCGGCCTTGAATTGACAAGGTCTCAGACTTTTGAGGCGTTTATGCTAATAATGGTGATAAGGGTAGAACACACACTTACCGTTTAAGCAGACTATGTAATGCCAGGATTTGGGTGAGGTCATATGGCAATGTCTTTTCTAAAACTACTCAAATCATAGCCCTGAACACCTTCAAGGTCTACCGAGAATAGTGTGCCTCATGGATAGAAGCGCTCGTAAAGATTTGTGGGATGAATGCAGTAGAGTATGAGAGGCTGAGGATTTCATAGCTTACGGGACATACAGCATAAACCTAGGAAAGCCTTCCTAAATACTAAAAATATTTATATATTTTATATAATATAGAATACATTTTTATGTAATATAAAATGTATTTATATTTTTTACAGAATATAAAACATATATATTTACTAAAAGAAAAAAAAGACGGCACATTTAAACAAAGAGACTATCAGTTGATACTTTCCAGGTGTCACATACTGGCAGCCTCCAAGTCAGCTATTGCTCACAGACATGTTTTCTTTGGTTCCCACAGTATTCTTTAAAATATAATGTATATAATTTGCTCACATTTTACTGCTGTGCCTGCTACTCCCCTAACTTTCCCGCTAGTCCACTGCTCACAAGTGAAGTAAGTCCTCCTGTGTTTGGCTCCTCTAGACACGGGTTTTGGACCCCTGTCACATATTCCATTTGGTAACAACAGGGCCATACAGGGGATTTTCCTCCAAAAACCTCCCCCTTGGAAGTTTTCCAGGATCACCTTGCTCCTCGTAAACTTTCTGAGATTTCTATCTTCAGCAGTTTCAGTGAAAAAAGTCTATAGATTCATGTTGTTAGGTACAGTGATAGGCTTATGATGAGGAACATTTTCCTCATTTTGTTTTCCATCCAAATTCATTGCCTTTTTGAATTTACATTTCGTGAATGTATGTGACTTGTGATTCATGTACAATTGATCCTAACGGGGCTGTAGGAGAGGTAAATAGATCTGCTTATACTAAAATTTCAAGTAACCAACAGCACAGATAGGTAGGTATAACTGAGTGATGTTCAGAAGGATAGAATTTGACCTGCAATTCCTCTGGTTTTGTGTCGTGGTGAGTCATCTAGTAAAGGAGATTTGTTCTCCTACATGATGAACCATGCTTGGCACACAGTAGGTTTTCAACAAGCATTTACTGGATTGAGTCAAGCTAGCATGCTTGACGTGACTGAAGAAGCAAGAGCAAACTTGTATTTTTTTTATTTTATTAGGGGAAACTAAAGCATTGCAAAATAGAAATAGAATTCACTGTTTGGATCTAGGTGGCATTCTGAGGCACAAATGAATGCTAGATTTCTGAGGCTGTTTAAACCCGTTATAGTAAAGAATAGGTAAACGTTCAATAGGAAAAGTTCTTTGTATATCACAAATCACTTTTCTTTGCTTTTTGGAACCTTATCACAATCCTAAAATAGATAAGAATGTATTCTACTGATGAGAGTTTTTTCTTATCATTATCATTTCTTATCGTTATCACAGATAAATGAATGATGTCTAGAATTTGGAAATGGGTCTCCTGCCTTGTACTCTATCTTCTTGGGCAAATCTCTTCGCCTCTCTGAACCTCAGTTCTGTCTTTTAGAGAGGAAGAGGGTTAGACGAGATGATTTCTGAGGTCTCTTACTACTCTACTCTACATTTTCACCCAGTTCTGCTTCCACAAGCTAATAAGTTCTTCCCGATTTCTCAATGATATCAAGGGACACATAGATGAAGGATATCCACAGAGGAGATCTGTTCGACTCAGGAAGCACTGGTTAAAAACTGACAAGGATGAAGTGCTGGAGAATGAGCCAGCTGTTGCCTCTTGTGGCTCCAAGTATTAATTTTCTGATTTGTATCACTATTTCCTGAGCGCCTTATGTGGATTTGTGATTAAAAAAAAAGTAGTGGGAAACTGGTTAAAATTTCATTAGTTACAGACCTTTTTTTGGAGGTAAAATGGAATTGCAGCCAAAATCAGTGATCTTCACCACCATTCTATTGTCTACCACACAGTTGGTGGATTTCAGACGACCATGGACTTCTGTCTTACTGGAGTGTAGATATGACATCCCCTGTAATTTTTAGATGACAAGGAAACAAAGAGATAACACACTCTGCCGCTGTTTTATTATCTTAAAGAAATGACATTTCAAAATCATTTCAGCATGCAGATAGAATCATACCATTAACTTTTAAATTTAGTTTCATTAATTTTACTTTAAAAATATTGATAAGGCCCTAATATTTGCCTAAGCACTGCATCTATTTAGGCGACACAGTAAAAAGCAATTGTCTAAAGACTGGTTAAGTAGTTGTATAAAACAAAGAGTTGATCCTATTTTTTTTAAGCGTTTTTGCTTACCACTTATTTGGTCTGTGACTTTGGGTATGTCTGGTCCTCTGCTACCTCATTTCAAAAATATGCATATTGTAAGGCCTTGCCTTTCTGAAGGGAGGGGCTATGCTAGATTAGTTCCTAAAATTTGAAGGGTTTCATCCTATTTTGAAAGGGGTAGCCTGTTTTTGTCTGGTGTGCTTCCCTCTGGTGGCCAGAGGTGTCATTGCAGAAATTGGTTTTCAGCCTGGATCACAGGAGTGAAATGTGGCTACAAATACGGTTATGTAACATTTTTCAAACTGATTCTGACCCTATGTGACTTTCAGGTGATTTAAGACTGTATCAAAGAGTCACTGGGGGCCAACCGAGTGGCTCAGTTAGTTAAGAGCTCGCTTAAGGGTGTGAGCTCTGAGCAACAGTGGTTTCGATCCCTGGCCCAAGCTGAGTGCTGCTGAGCTGCCAACAGGTGGCAGGACGGCTCAGCTGAAAAAACCCAAAAAAACTCAGTCACTCTCTGGACCCACTCTTCCTCATTCTTGAATGAGGTCCTGGTTACTGGTATCCACTTCCTTTCTCATACCATGTCTGGGATATAAATGTACAAATTTATTATTGCCTCGTGCAAGATGGTTGCCTGCCCTTAATATTTTGTTTATACAATTGATGATTCAGTTGTTTTCCCTGCAGCTTTATGTGATTTTGATTTCCAGCAAGCCTATGAAAATGTGTGCCTCAAACCCAGAGTAGAAAGAATATAATAATAAGTATAATAAGAGCCTATATTGAATACTTGCTTGTACCAGGCCTTATGTGAAGCATATGCATTATATCATACAATACTCATAACAACTCTATGACATAGGTACTATTTTTATTATTATTTTACAGATGAAGAAACCAATATACAGATTTGAATAGCTTTGCCAGATCTGTTTTCCTATATTTAATTTTCATAAATGGCTTCTGTGTTTGTAGGTGTCTTACCTTAGCAATGTCATACAAGACAGAGATCTTAAACTCCCAATCCATGAAAGTACCATCAGGGTAGGAAATTGTGTCATTTAAAACTTCCTGAAAAAAGAAAGAAAATGAATGGTCACAAGGACAGATGTTATGGAGAGGCTATTACAGGCAAATAATTATCTTCTAATCATGAGGCCTTGGGCTCAGGAGCAAATTGGAACTCCATTGTCCTGGCTTTCCTGAACATATATTTTTCTCTTCTACTTAAGAAACATTAAGTGGCTTTCACCACAAGGACACACCCATAGTATCCCAAATTCCAGTCCTTCCACCTGACAGGGGCGAAGGAATGAGTAGATACCTGCCTGGCGAGTGGGCTGGTGAGCCAGACTGACAATCTTTGGGCTAGAGGTCCCGTATCATGAAAATTACGCTAATGTTTTTAAACAAGTAATTACTGTTAGGAAATTCATTCACTAGGATTCTGTTTTTACTCACATGATCAATTACATCTGTTGGCTTTATAACTCTAAGGGTATTTTTGTTTGTTTGTTGTTTGTTTGTTTTAATACTAAATCCTCTTTTAATAATACAGAGCTCTTGGATTTTGTGTGACTTGTATGACCTAGAATTTTGAACTCATTATTTTAGCATGGTGATGGTTCTATCAAGATACAGGGTTTTAACTAAACGAATAACGATTCTTCATAGTAAAACTATGACTAATAACCTAACAATAGTTTCTTGTTTTGGGGAAAAGCCCAATTTGACCTTTGGTTTTAATTTAGGCACTGTACCAATAATTTGCAATAAAGTATCCAAAGTCATAATTCATTTCTGATAAGGCTGGCTGGGCTGTAGGTACCAGCCTGAGTTAAGGGAGGGATGTTTATGAGCAGACAGACTCTAAAGTAATTCTTTCCCTTAAGACATGGCATATTTTATATTTTTGTTTACGTGTCTTATTATCTCATCTCCCTATGAAGATGTAAACTCTGTGATAATTTTTGTTCACTGCTGTCTCTGCAACATCTTGTTTAGTATCTGGTATGGAACAGATGTTTAATAAATATTTGTCACATGAATGAATCAGTTGTTTCTAAACAAGGTTAGCCAAGGTAATGGTGTGTCTTTATAAGACGGGAAGCATACTGTCTTTACTCTGTCTAGAGAGCAACTTTCTCATGTGTTTCCCCACAAAAGTTGGTTCTCATGGGATTTGCCATGGGCGAAGCCTAATGGGATGACACAGGGAGGGGACTGCCGTTGGCTTTGGGGAGTGGTTTCCTGTAGAAGTTTCTGTGAGTAAGCAATGCCAGAAGGGGGCCCAGGACCACTCAGATACCTGAACTTTCCTACCTGAGAGTAGAGAGCCAAAACCACTCTGGGTATGATACCTAAATGTTGACTGGGCATGTTAGGGAATAAAAGATCCTGTGAAACCCTTTAACCAGGCTCTGTTACTTGGTATTCTGAAATGGCTGTCTCATTGAAATTAAATGAATTAGAGTATGGTTATAGCCCTCATATAGTCATTATTAATTTAAATGATAAACTTTTAATTTAAATAATCACTTTCAGCATCAATTAAAATGATCATGTGATCTTTCTCCTAGGAACTAGCCAAGTTGTTGTCTTTAATCTTCGTTGTGGAGGGTGCTAGTCACCATCTGGCTTCCCGTCAGCAGCTCCTGGCCTCTAAGCTCAAGGTGCTGTGTTCAGTCTTAGTTGCAGGTGGGTGCCCACCATTGAACAGGCAATCTTGTTGTTACGCCAGCTGAGCCATCCTGCCACCTGTTGGCAGCTCAGCAACAGCTCAGCTCGGTCGCAGCATCACTGGCCCATGTGGGAATTGAACTGGCGGCCCTGTTGCTCAGAGTCCGCACTCTTAAGCCAACTCTTAACCAACTGAGCCACTCGGCCAGCCTAACTCCTAGGACCTTTTGATATGATGCATTAAAGTAATATTTTTTCCATTCATAGAATTAACCATATCTTATTTTACTATGCTCCTTATGTACAACTGGCTTTGAGTTACTAATATTCTATTCATAAGTTTTCCATCAATATTCATAAATATAGTCTTTAATCTATTTTATTATTAACTTTATGCTAGCTTTGAATGTTAAATGAATTTTGATGTTCATATTTTTCCTTAACTTTAGAATAGTATTTATATAGACACTGAGAATTATTCATTGAAGTTTAGAATTAAGCTAAATCTGGTTTTATTTGCAGTAAAATTATAATTTCTTCTATTGTTATTGGCATACTTTAGTTTTTATTATTTGAGTCAAATTTTCATGATTATTTTGCTTCTAAATTTTTTTCTTTTTTGACTTTATAACTTAATAGTCATGGAGTATTCTTTCACAATTGAAAGCATCTTTTTCATAGCTTTAATTTTTTATATTACCACTTTTGTGTATTTTTGTTTGTTTCAAAAATTTTATTATAAATATGAGAGGCTTGTATGTTTTATGCTTTTTTTAAAAAATAAAAAAACTCATGAGTGCATTTTAAAATTTTACCTGTTTTATAATGATTGAATTTTGAAAATTTCCTTTCCTTAGGCCATAGTTATTCTTCCAAATTTTGTATTCAGTACTTAGATTACTTCATTTTATTTTGTTTTTGTTTTTTTAAAAAGAGAGCATAGTATTTAGGGCTATGATCTTTTTCTTTGAAGATACATTTGAGTTTATGCCATATGTTTTGAAAGTGATTCATATTTTTTGTATTGAAGCTTATTGAAAAATTAAACATTTCTGAGTGATTAGTTTAAATTAAAAAAATTATTTTTAAATTTTGTTGAATTATGGATATCTGGACCTCTTTAAAGCTGCTGCTGCTGCCCTCAATCTTAGGATTCTGGCTATGTTATTGGGAAGAATATTGAGATTATTAAGAGATACTGGATCTGAAAATAGCCCAAAGGCAGGGGGACAACACATCCAGGTTTGCTTGAGGCCAGTTACAATTTATGTCTGCTGTTCCAACACAATTATTATAGTACTCTCTTTCACTCGCAAAGTATCCTGATAAATTATATGGTCACCTACCCAAAGGTATTTACTTTTTTTTTTTTTTAATTGGGGAATTGGGGGGATGGGAACAGTGCTGGGGAATTGGGGGAAGGGGAACAGACAAGTTGCTGTCGGTTTTTTGGGGGGTTTTTTTTGTTCTTCAGTCTAGTTGTGCAGGACGTTGCTTCACTGGCCCAAGCTGGCACCATCGTTGCGCTCTTCCCAGGTGAGGCAGATCAGTCGCCGGCTTCTGGACGGCCGCTCACTGCGGCTGCTGGCCGCTCACGCTGGCTGCTGG